TTTAAACAGAAAGAAAATCCTGTAAATAGATCAAGGTCTGGTTTTGTTGGCAAGGAGTGGGAAGCCAGCGGAGGGGCCTGAGGGCTCGGCCCCCATGCCAGCTATGGGGACAACTGCCTCTCCCCCCAGAAGAATTTACTTGAGAGGACGGCACTGAAGCTTCAGCTAGGGGAGAGGAGCATGTCTGATCAGAGCAAATGGGAGCACTTAGGAGGAAGAAGAGAGAGTGGAGCACATCCTGACCCACCAAGCCTGGAGGCGACATCCCTGCTCTGAACAGCCAATGGACAGAGTGGACAATATGGCTGATCCCACCATGAGACATGCCGTCCCTTGATGGCCCCAGCCCCTAAGGGAGACAACACTGGAGACTCAGTGTCGGGACTGGCCCAGACTGACCCTGAGACACTGAGGCAAACCACTAAAAGCGTGCGGCAGAGCAACCATGGGAGCAGAGCAGAGAGCCCCTCCCCCCCTCCCCCCAGGGAGTATAAAGGACAGACTCTGAGGCCAGAGCATGGTACCCCATCGGTCCTGACTGAAGGCGAGACTTTTTCTCACGTACTTTGGACATAACATCAGGAGAGATCAGTCCTGGTAAAGTAAAGGAGTAGGGAAAAAGTGGAAAACTCTGGACAAGAAGGGTGGAGACCATGGCTCCTACAATGAGCTAAACCGGTGGGGGAGTAAAATAATTTACATGGGTACACTGCCCTAATGACCACTCAAAGTATTTAAAAAACTGTTATCATAACAACACTGCTCTTCAGATGAACACTAAAAAAGAGTAATGAATGTGCTTTCTGATTCCCTCATTGGGTAGCTGCCCAGTCACCCACCATAGAAAGACCTTTGACTATAAATGCCATTTAACATTCGGTTTGCTGAACTCAGCAAATAATAACAATATCCTATTGAATATCTTCGTAACATCCTGCTTATCCATGGATTAATTAATGGATATTTGGGCTATTTCTATTTTTGATTATTGTAAATAATGATACTAAGAACATCCAGATTCAAAGATTGCGTGCATAGGCTGTGCTTACTTCTCCTGGGGACACAATTAAGGCGTGGGGTTACGGAGTCACGAGTCACTCCGTTTGAATGTCTGACATCTGCAAACTGCTTCCAACGTGGCTGCCCCATTTGCATTTACATCAGGTGGATGTGTGGGCTTTACTTCCTCTACATTGTCATACATTCATTATCATTCACTTTTATGTCGCGCTACTTAGTGTGAAGTGTTATTTCATTGTGATCTTGATTTACATTTTCCTAACAACTAATAACACATCATAATAAATGGAGAAAAAGTTGAAGGTATGAAAGATTGCATTTTACGTGCATCCACAATGAGCACTCTGGAAGCAGCACTCAAGAAATCAAAGGACCTATTACATCGGACAAATGGGTTGCACAAGACCTCCTAAAAGTGTTAAAGATGTCATTTTGAAAACTAAGATGCACTATTTTCAGTCACCTCATATGTATGAGACGTGTGAACAATAAATAAGGAAGATTGGATAAAAATTGATGCTTTTGAAGACATGGCATTGGCAGGGGATATTGAAAATAATACAGCATGGCAGAAGAACAAACCAATCTGTCTTGGAAGAAGTACAGCCAGAATGGCTGTTCTTTAGAAGCGAATGCAGTGAGACTTCATCTCACATATTTTGGACATGTTATCAGGAAGGACCAATCCCTAGGAAAAGATGTCCTAGCAATCTAGGGGCTAAGAGGGACAGAAGACCCTCTATGAAATGGATTTGCACACGGGTTACATCAATGGGCTCAAACATGTCAAACCGTGTGAGGACGACCCAGGCTGTGCAGTGTCTGATTATGTTCAGAGGGTTGCTGTGATGCAGAAACACCTCAATGCCACCTGAAAGCAACACAACAGTGACTAATAGTGCTGAGCATATTTTTACGTGCTTACTGGCCATTGGTATATCCTTTATCCATTTATTAGTTGGGTTATCTTATTGTTTTGAAAATTTCTGTATACAATTTGAATATAAAATTTTTATCAGATATACATTGCAAATATTTTTCTCCCACTATGTGAACTGTCTTTTTACAATCAGGAGGGTGTTCTTTGAGGCACAAATGTTTTAAATGCCTATAAAACCTATAAATTAATTCTTTTTCTTTTATCATCTATGCTTTTGACGTCATTTATAAGATTTGCCTCACTCAAAGCCATGGAGATTTGCTCTGTTATCTCCTTAGAGTTTATAGTTTTAGATTTTCCATTTGAGCTATGAACCTTTTAGAGTTAATATTTGGTAAGATGCGAGGAAGTGGTCCAATTTTCTTTTTTGCATGTGAATAACAATTTTTCTAGCATTATTTGTTGAACAGATTATTCTTTCCTTGATGGTCTTAGTACCATTTGAAATGGAATGTTCAAAGAAGGAGTATAGTTTTGAATTCTCAATTCTACCCTATGAATCCAAAGGTCTACCCTGGTGCCAGTAGCACTCTGTCTTATTTATTATAGCCAGGAAGTCTTTTTAAATCAAAAAGTGTGACTTTGTTATTATTGGTTATTATTTTTCAAAATGGTCTAGACTATTCTGAATACTTTTTATATCCAAGTTCCACGCTGTGTCTTGGAGAGATGTAAATTTTAAAGAAGAGACAGCCATTCAGGAGGCTGCTTTTGGTGGGTGGAAATGTGTTGGGGAGAGCAGGGTTTCTGAAGGCAGTAGATTAGTAAAGAGATTCCAGTAAGCCACTCGAAACTTTTCATCCCTGTTGAGAGGAGAAGAGGACAGACTGTCCCGAGCCAGCGGATTTTGCTCATTTCTGAGAAACCTTGGGACAACAGTTCTGCTTGGCACAGGGCCACACGGTTCTTCTGCCAAAGTATACACAGCATGTGGTCCTGCCATCTGTAACACTAGAGTCTAGACCAGCTGAACCAGAGGTAAGATTACAGTATTGCCTCTCACCAATTAGAACATTAGAAGACATGATTGTCAGTGGAAGACCTGAATTATTTTTCCAGGGAAAGAAAAGAAGAAAAGTATATCTCTACAATGAGAAAAAGAAGTTGAAGTTGAAGAACTCTCATTAGAATCAGTCCTAATTGAGATTTGTTGTACAGACTTTCAGGTCAGTTTGTATTAATTCAGTATACAGAGGAGGAAACTGAGACGCAGGGGTGTTAAATTATTTGGCTGTGGTTGGCCTAGGACCAGCTCTTAAAAAAATTTTTTTCATCCAGATTAATAGTTGTTTCATTTTACTGGCATTCCTGAATTTGGTCCAGTAGCTTCTGGTTTGTATTCTAAATCAAGTAAAACTGCTTACAATTTCTGCTGTTTGCCTTTGACACTTCAAGGTTTCATATTATGCAAATCCAGAAGCATTAGGAAATACTTCAGTTTTATAAAAGCCCAGTATGAAGCAATACCCAATCTGACTTCTGGCTGAAAAATTAAGGGAGATTCCTTTAGGACAGCTAGAGGAGGGCACAGAGGCTGTTGTTTCTGAGTTTTCTTAAGTCTCAATCAGGGATCATTTCTGCTTCAATGATTTAAGACATGCACCTAGTATAATTAATTTATAATCCCTTGCCAAACCCCAATACCCTCATGAACACATAGTCCTGAAATAAGAAGCTCTGAGCACTGTTCAGAGAGAAGGAGGAGGGTTGAGTGTTATTTCTGAGGCTTCCTCCAGTATGTTCACCTCTGTATTATAAATGTTATTTCTGAGTCAGTACACACATAGAAAGAACCTGAACTTTAATGACTGGTGTGAATTCTTTTTCATTTACTCTTTGGTGGACTCAAACAGGTATGTAAGCTTTCTGAAAGAAGCTCAGTACCCTGACTGGACAGTGGAACACATAGGATTAGGTGGCAGCTCAGGTTTCACCTCCTGCCTTTTAAACGATTGACCTACTCATGCCTCACACGATTCCTGCAAGAAGCTGTGGACACTGGAGTCATGCCAACTTGCCTCTCCCACACACATTAGAAAAAATGCTGGCCGTCCTCTCTTTTCTTTCTGCCTTTGTCTCCTATGGTCAACCCGGGCTCGCCTCTCCCCGTCAGACTGGGATTGCTTCTTTAAGGTTTTTCCTTTCTACACTCTCATAGGTCAACTTCTGAGAAAATCGCCTGCTACATTTGCTCCCGTCACTTACGGGTTTTATTCACCCAGCTAAGACCATCACTCGGATCCACTCCGGAGCTATCAGAATGAACATTCTTGTCATTATTGGGAATTCTAAAATTCCAATGTGAGCAATATCCAAGATAGAGATGTGATGAGAAGAAAAAGATCATGTGTTTAAAGGGCTCATAACTTTGTGTAGCACAAGATAAACATGCAAATGCTGATTTTCGGATTTACCAGGAGTAAGATCACAAGCCACTTGTGCCAGGTAGATCAGAGACAGGGCTTACGACTTTAATAGGAGCAGAGTGAGAAAGGTAGACAAATGATGTGTAGACAAATGGCTTCCTTGTTTGCTGCTTCTAACCCATTCGTTCTTAGGAGCCTGGCTGTCTCAAAAATGACTAACAGTTACATACCCGGCACCCATCAGCTGCACACTTGGGATGGGTTGGTACTGCCGCGGGCATATGGCCTTTGTCCGCCCACAGTCCTTTTCATCCGAATTGTCTCCACAGTCGTTTTCTCCATTGCATTCTAACTTGCTGGCAATGCAGCGGCCTGGTCAAGAAAGACGAACAATAGCAACATCAATGAGCACTTCACAAAGGATTTATACATTCAAAATACAGCTGATTTAAATTTCCAGGTAAAATTTAAGGAGCATTTTGCTTATTTCTGATAGATATTTAGGGACATGTAGAAATGAAGTCTTCTGACTGACATTTTCCTTTCTTTAAAAAAAAAAAAAGATAACAAGACTCCCCACAGGATTATTTAGTCACGATTGTGCTGATGGGAGTCCTAGTGGCATCGTGGGTTACACACTGGGCTGCTTAGCACTGGATTAGCAGTTCAAAGCCACCTGTTGCTCTCTGTGAGAAAGATGACGCTTTCTACTCCCTTGAAGATTTGCCGCCTCAAAGACCCAGAAGGGCAGTTCTCCTCTGTCCCACAGGGTGGCTATGAATCAGAATTAAGTTGGTGGCAGTGAGCTTTGGAGAATGGTCTGATTGTCTCAAAAAAGAAAATTAATTCTAGAATCTCAGGCTCTTTACTGTCAACCTGCTGGAGAGATCCAGATCATGGTGTGCTGAGAAAATTAACAGTAGGTTCAGAATTTGTTTTGATCTAGGATGGTGGCTTCAAGGTTCTTATTTAAAAGACTGCAATTTTATGTGTGCCAGGATCTGCTGTTAGACCCAATGACATGAATAAATCTCAAAACTGACCAGAAGGAGTCAGACCCTTAAAGACCATGCTATGATTCTTATGTATGAATTTCAGAAACAAGGAGAGGATTGACTGAAAAGGGAAATGAAAAGAACTTTCTGAATAGAAACCTTCTATATCTTGATTGGGGGTTGTTTATACAGGTCAAAAATAAAAGTGGACTCTTATTTTGCCATAGACTTATCGTATTTAACTATATAATTCCTTTAATATACACAAATAGTTAATGTTTTACTGTATAACCAGTACATATTACTATGATATATACTTTCTTTTAATATGAGTAGTCAAAAATTCCTAGAAAAATATAATAGAAAAAATAGAAAAAGGAAAAATATAATAGATTTTTCCATGAACTCTTTGAAGTCCTGTTGTTCACATAATTAGTAATTATTTTGCTATAGATATATCCAGTAAATATTATTACTGTATATAATTATTTTTTGGATGAGATAAGCATCTACACACTACAATAGTAGGTAGCAAATTGAGTGAGAAAATTAAAAAGTGGTTCAAATTGCATGTACTCAGAGAGTTCCATTTCCTTCTTATATTGGTTGACTCCAATGAGATTCCCGAAACGAATATAGAACTATATATTATAGAAACTGAAATGCATTAGGTGCAATAAGAGATTTGCCTTTTCCTGCTTTTCACTCTCTTGCTAGCAATCAGGGGTTCTGCATCTATACCATTGCATACAATCTCACAAAATAGTGATTAAATGTTTTGTGCAAGACTGTCCAGGTGAGGTGTGACAAGCATCTCAGTACCGTTATGCATGACTATTTTGACTAACTAAAATGCTGGGGGGAATTGAATATTCTGCTGAATTAAATTTTGTGATTAATAGAATGCTCTCCTTAATTTAAGCTCTTTTAGCTAATACTCTTTACTAAGACAGTAGAATGAAATGAACATAATTAAGTCTTCCTTTGATGATTCAAAATCTTGCATTACTTTGGAATCCTTATTATAAAGGATCCTAATTATGAGCAACATTTTCATACAAGACTGAAAATATAAATGGACTTGAATTTCTGTCAACCCCAAGGTATAACTTGAGAGATGCTCAATTTTCAAATAGTACATCTCTGTAGTTTTGTTTGTTTGTTTGAAGTTAAATTAGCATGAATAATTTAGTTTGAAATAGAAAAAAACTTTTTCTAAAAGAAAAAGAATGCATGAGGGTGTACAAAAGTTCATAGGAAAAAAAGCCATTAACATTTTTTGATTGTGAATTAGGTAAAGTTTACAGAGCATCAAAACCAAACCAAACTCAATGCTAATTCAGAGCGACCCCTGGGTGTTTCCGAGACAAGAGTTGTTTGTGGGAGCAGAAAGCCCAGTCTCTCCTGAGGCCCTGCTGATGGTTGCAAATTGCTCACCATTCGGACCACCGCTCAACACATGACCACTACACCACCAGGGCTCAACGCTTTTTAATTCCATTTTTCCACAAACATTTTGAAGTCCCCTAATATGTTACATTTTTTTCCTTTTCTTTCTTCTTTTACATTTTTCAGACTTTCGACCTGGCACGTGAACATTGTTGTAAAGGCTAAGTTTTGAGAAGTTTAAAATAAGCTTGAATGAATCAACATCACATTTTCTCAGAGAGGAAGAGCTACAACAAGTTCCCTGGTGTTTGCACAGAAGAGTTCTGTCAACAGGGTACTAGACATGTTGCCGTCATGGGTCTTTGATATGGTGCAGGCACATGGATCCTACGTACAGCAGAATAAAACACTGCCCACTCCTGCACTGCCATCACAAGTGTTCTATTTGGGCCCAGTGTTAGCGCCCCTGTGTCTACACATCTCAACGAAGGTCTGTTCTTCTGCTGCCCTCAACTTTACCAAGCACGAGGTCCCTGTCCAGGCGCTCATCCCTCCTGCCAACGTATCAAAGGAAACTGGGATTCTGTTCTGAGAAACGTTCTAGCCGTACTTCAATGACGGATTGGTTTGTTCTTCTGGCTGTCCATGGTACTTTCTGTATTCTTCACTAGCACCATAATTCAGATGCATTAACTCTTATATGGTTTCCTTATTCCTTGTCCAGCTTTTATATGCATATGAGGTGATTGAAAATACCATGGCTTGTTTCAAGTGAACATTCATCCCCATATTGACAGCTTTACTCTTTAACACTAAAAGTGCACTGCACAGCAGGTTAGCCCACTACAATTCCTTTGATGTCTTGACTGCGTGAGGGTTGGTTGTGGATTCAAGGAAAAGGAAATCCTTGGCAACTTCAATCTCTTCTGCATTTAACAGGATGTCATCTAATGGTCAAGTGGAGACGAGTTTTGTTTGCTTTACATTGAGGTATAATCCTTTTGGAAGACAGTAGTCTTTTGTCTTCATCAGTAAGTGCTTGAAGTCTCATTCGCTATCATTAAACAGTGTTGTGTATCTTCATATCGAAAGCTGTTAATGAGCCTTCCACTTATCCTAATGCTTTGTACATCTCAGATTATTTGCTCAGTATATAGATTGAATCCTATGATGTAAGGATACAACCCTGATAATATCTTTCCTGATTTAACAATATTCAATTTCCCCATGTTGTGTTTGGATAAATGCCTCTTGGCCTATGTTGAAGTTCTGTACGGGTATGGCTGTGTTCTGGGTGTCCCAGTCCATGCAATGTTATCCATAGTTTGTTATGTCCTCCACAGTCAAAAGTCTCTGCATCATGAATAAAACACCAGTAAACATCTTTCTGGTATTCTTTGCCATCAATTAGCCAAAGTTCATCTAACATCAGCTATGATATTCTTTGTTCCATGTCAGTTTTTGAATCCAGCTCGAATTTCTGGAAACTCCAAAAGGACAAAAAAAAAATCTGCCTTTGAAGAAGTACAGCCAGAGTGCACCTCAGAGGCAAAGATGGCGAGACTTTGTCTCAGCTACTTTGGGTATGTCAGGAGAGACGGGTCCCTAAAGGAGGGCATTGTGCTTGGTGAAGTAAGGGGGCAGTGAGAAGGAGGAAGTTCCTTACTAAGAGGAATTGACACAGGGGCTGCAACAATGGGCTCGAGCGCAGGAACAAGTGTGGGGACGGTGCAAGACCAGGCAGTGTTTCACTCTGTTGTGCATACGCGTCGCTATGGGTCAGAACCCAACTGCGTGGCACCTAATTACAACAACGCTGCAAACTTTCAAACATGATATTCAGCAACATTTACTTGCATGTGGTATTAATGATATTTTTGATAATGCTTGCATTCTATGGGGTCAATATTTTTTTAGAATGGGCAGCTGTGGACCGATCCCACTCAATTGGAAAGGTAGCTGTCTTTCAAATTTCTTGCCATAGACTATTTAATGCTATGTAAGTTTATGGAAATATTTCAATTCACATCCTGTCAATATTTGCCAATGCCTTCAGTGCAGTTTGAACTTCTTCCTTTAAAACCATCAGAGGTTCTTGATAATATACAACCTCCTGAAATTGTTAAATGTTGATCAATTCTATTCAGTACAATGACTGTTATTTCTTTACATCTTCTTTTGATGCATTGTTCCTTATTTTGTCCCCCGAATCCTTTTAATATTTCCAGTTGAGGCTTGGTTTTTTTTCATTTAGTTCTGACAGGCTGCGGAATGCTGAACATGATCTCCTATTTTTGGGGTGTGTGGTAGTTAGATTTTATGTCCACTTGAATTTGTATGAAACAGGAGGAGTAGAGTCCAGTCTATCAATTAGGTCATAGCCCGATGGTGCCTCTTTGGACTTGTGGCCTGTCCTGTAAGAAAGAAAGTAAGAAGGTCTCTTCTCTTTTCCCCTTCGCACACTGCTTGCTGGGACTTTGTGTCTACCTCCAGGTGTGGCCCCTGAGAGCTGTTGATGCCCTGATATGTTTCCACTGAACTTGGATCCATGGATCTTCGCTCTCAGGCCTGTGATTTTCCTGTATCCCACTTCACCTTTCTGCACCGTCAGCTTGCAACTAAGTGAGTCTGAAGAGGCCTCTGGCTAGCATCAGACCCTTTGGCTTACGTTGAATTGGGCTGTTATTGCCTTTTTGACATAAGATGACTTCTTTATAGAAAGCTCTTTCTTATACATTTATGAGTGTCACTGGTTTTGTTCCTCTAGACCACTCAAGCTAACATAGTTTTCTAATTCCAGGTCTTTACATATTAATAGATGTTGTTCAAATCCACAGAATGTCCATTGGGGGTTATTAGGAAGGATTTTTAAGAAAATTGAAAATTGCATTGATGAGGAAAAGGTCAAGAAAATTTCGCCAAGGATTTTTTTTTTCCATCATGACAATTAAATACTCATTTTTGAGGGTATTAATGGTTGTCCTACTCTTTGATACTTCATTTTATTTTAGCTTCAAGAAAATTTTAAGGGAAAAACTTTTGTGTTGTTCAAAGATCGTCAAAGCGATAGCTTTGATGAGGTAGAATTTGGGGGGGTGGGGTAGAGGGTTATAGAAAAAGGAATACATCCTTCAGAAGTGTATAGACCATGCTGGAGGATGTGTTAGGAAACAGTTTCACATTTGGTATGGTAAACGTTTTTCTTATTTTATAGGAATACTTATTGATGTATCTGTCTATCTATCTTTTCTTATACTTATCATACATTAGTGGGGTTTAGTGGAATAATTTTGACACCAGGATTTCTGTCTGGCATTCTGAAAAGAACAGCAAAGCTGGGCTAAGGAGAAAAAGAGGAAAGGGAAATTGTTTGTTAATTTTGAACTAATTTACCTTTTAGGGTATTTCATAACACAAAGACATGGACTGGATTTCACTAATCTGAATTTAATTTTGTTTTAAGTTCAAAGTGATTATTCAGATGAGAAGTCAGCATGCTATAGTTCATGAGTCTAAAATGATCTGCTGCCTGTGCTTATAAATAAAATGTAATTTGAACATAGTAGTTCTGGTGGTGTAGTGGATTATGCATTGGGGTACCAACCACAAGTTCAGCATTTCAAACTCAACACCTGCTCCATGGAAGAAAGGTAGAGCTTTCTGCTCCTGTAAAGATGTTCAACAGTGGAAACCCACAGGGACCGTTCTACTCTGCCCTGTAGGGATGATATGCGCCAGAATTAACTCTCTGGCAGTAGGTTTTGGTGCTTATTGGTAATATAGCATAATAAACTAGATTGAAAATCGGTTTAATCTGTCTCTTCTTTTCATGTGATTATTTTCATTATAGACATTTATGCTTATCAAGAGCTGATTCTTAAAAACATAAAAACTACCCTGTGCTCTTTTTACTCCTCTTCCTCTTTCTTTTTGCTTTAACACATTAGGAACCTGACCACCAATGCTTGATGGATGCGTGAATCAGGTAAGTGGTCAAGGTAAGTGTAACTCAAGAGCTGTAATTTCACACAAAAATAGCTTGCACTTGGTAGCATTGCTCTTCTTCCCACCTTCATTCTGTAAAATTTGGTGGGACTTTCACTGGTAGTCAGTTGGTATAACTTTTATATAGCTGTTTTTAGTTCACATTGTACATTTTACAAAAATGCATTACCACTGTCACAGCGGAATTTATTCTTGCAGTCAATCTCTTCGATTTTGCAGAGCTTGGATGGAATGCATGGCTGAAAGCTCACCAGGGGTTCAGTACAAGGCTGTCCCCCAAATTGACTGGGGCGCAAGATAGATCTAGACTTAAACTGAAAAGAAAGAGAAATATGGGTAATTTGGAGATAAGGTCATCACCAGAAATATATTTACGCGAACCGAGCTTCTTTGGTGTATATCGAGTTTATTTTACACAGCAGAATATACACCAATTCTGGAATTTCTAAACTTACAATTCGGTAGCATTGATGACATTCTTTAAGTTTTGCAACCATTATCATCCTCCTTCCCCAAGTTATCCCTTTCCCAACAACATAAATAACTATCCCAGTAAAGGTCTCCTGTCTAATTGTTTGACCTACTGCTGTGAATCTGAACACGTAGCTAGCTTTTTAAAGGAGTCCAATGGTTAAGACTGAGTACACTCTTCACTAGTTAAGCTAAACTATTCATTGATTTTACTAAGATTTCAGGGGATATTTTTGGTTTAAAGTTTAAAGATCATTTGGTGCTGGGGAGGTGGGGGTCGGCTGATCTAACTGCTATGGCTCCCCCAAAATATCAATTGCATGAAAATTTGAGGGTTGATTTATATTTTTGCCCTTTTGACTAAAATGGAGGCTCTTAGTCCTAGTGTTGGTGTGACAAACTTTACAAGTAGTTCTTTCAGTACAATGACTGTGTACCCTAAGGAAAGTCTTTACCTACCCCAGCTTCAATTTCCCAGGCAGTAAAATTAAGAAGTGGGACAAATGATTTCTACAGATTCTCTAACTCTGAAAGTTCATGATTCTAAAGTAAATTAAAATCAAATGCACAAATATTTGCCAAGCACAGTAAATTCTTCAAGATATATCCAAAGCCCTTCAGTATACCAAAGATTATGTGGAATGGTACATGTGAAAGAATATCTGAGATCCTTTTTCCTAAAAATGTAACCATAGAAACCAAGCTTGATGAATTCTCCATATTAGCATTTTTTTTTTAATGGAAAATAGTGAAATGAAGACTGAGGGGAGGATGAAACTCTCTAGGATTTATGAGTAATGACTTTGAAGTCAGCAAATCCATGATCAAAATGCAGCTCCTCCATTCATTAGTGGTGTTGCACATAGCAATTTGGCAAAACTGTTTGACTTGTTATGAGATATAACTTCCTAACTTCTAAAATGAGTAGAAAAATACAATTGGGAAAAATATTAAGTAAGGTGATATATAAAGGTCTATTAGAGGAGTAGTAATGGATAGTCACCAACTAACAAGCAGGAGACCAGGGCTTGATTCCTGGCTAATGGGCTAATTCCACAAGTACAGCCACCGCCTGCCTGCCAGTGGAGTCTTGCAAGTTGCTATGATATTAAATAGATTTCAGTAGAGCGTCAATACTAAGACAGAGGAGGAAGAAAGGACTGGAAATCTACTTCTTAAAATCAGCCCTAGGTAAACCTTGTGCTTGATTGCAACCTCACATGGAGAGGAAGCAGGAAGGAGCAGGGTTTCAATCTGTTGGCATGGGGTCCTCCTGAGTTAGGGACCAACAACGATGACAAACCTGTATGGGGCCTTGCATGCTTCATCTCATAGAGAAAGTGCTCCAAATATGAATTTCTCTTTCTTACTTAATGTGTGAATATTCAGCATGGGACCTGCCTGAGGTCCTCAAGGTCCACACCCTTACAGGAATGAGCTTGAGGTGAGTACATATTGCAGGTAGAAAGGCAAACAAGTTGGAGCACTTTCTCACGGGAAAAGAGAAATTAGAGGAAAACAAGAAGTCCAGACTTTTAATTCACTTCCCTAATATCTGTCTGATTTTAAGTTTTGGGCTAAAATGTTTGTTTGTTATTCCGGATTTTGCTCTCTGAATTTCCAGAGCCAGGCAAATATAAGTGTAAAGGCAGAATTTCCATTTAGAGTTCACATGCTGGTAAAACATATCAAACAAAACATCCTTGTCACAAATAAAAGTTTCCTTCACTGGATGGAGGGACAGTTTATTTCCACAAATTAATAAAAAATCAATATTTCTGTCCCTGCTGAGCCTATCATGGAGCCAGATCTTTTTATTTAGTTGTTGGATATGCTTATAAGTTACCTACCTGACTTTCAACACAAGGGTCACAATCTGACCATGGACCATAATCTCCCAGCAGGCAATTGATGGGGCACGTTTGCCAGTTGCATTCTCGGATCTCTTGCTTGGTGCAAACCTGGTCACAAAAATTATCCAAATAGTACTGGTTGACTACTATTTGTCTGAAAGAGGGAGGGAAAAAAGACTGCTCAGAACAAGTGTGTGACTATGGCTCTAGTCCAATAGGAAAGTCCCGTTGAATATTTGTTATCATGAATCAAAGGTTTTCACAGAAAATCAGGCAGACTGGCATGGGAGATGCTCTTTCTCTTTGATGGAATTCAGGACTGATGACATCATTTGGGAGGCCATGTACAGGATGACAGTGCAATGCCGTTGTTAAAAATTAGTCATTTCAAGACAGCAACCACAGAGCATTAAACAGCAATAATAGAGCATTAAACATTAGAGGTCAAGTCAAGCAGGAAACTCTTCTAAAGGATTGCAAAAGCCACACATTCATTAAGCCCATCCTGATCGAACTCCTGGGAGAGGCCGAAGAGAAAGGCAAGAAGGAAGAATGGAAATAAATTTAGTGTGGATTGTTTAAAAAAAATAACAACACAATGTGATTGATATAAAACTCTGGGGCCACCTTCAAAGAGAAAATGACAGGAGGGCTACATCTTGAAAAGTTAGAGTGTATTCTCTGGGTGAAAAAGGGAAGAGTATCCACATGCAAAGACCAGAGGTGGATGACAGCATGTCATGTCAGGGAAGAGCGTGAAGGCCAGACCTGTCAGATGCATGATTGCCAAGGACAGGATAGTTTGGACTGTGTTTTGGTAGACAGTGGAGAGCATTGTGGGGAACAGAAGGATTTCTCTTAAGTTGTCTCCCCAAAAAATGTTCCAAACTTAGCTGCTTAAGAGTGACTGTACAATAGGTGATCAGCGAGAGTAGGTCAGAGGTTATTCTCCTTAACATCGGCCATCTGTAGTGGCTAGACTATTAGTCTGACTCACCCTGAATAAGACCCACTCCCTTCTGATAAGGATAATGGTGGTCTATTCACTTGCAAGAGATACCAGAGAGGGCAAACCCGGCCCAAGGGTGACCAAGGTTAGATAGCCATTATCAGCTGTCTAGATCAAGCAGACACCACTGTCTATTCCACAACCAATGTGGGCACACCCCTAGGTGATTCCCCTCCTATTGATTGTATTGCTTATGTTAATACCCCTATGTTAATACCCCTCCTGGTGACTCAGGTTATTGTCCACCATCAGGGAACTTGCATGCCTCCCAGAATAGTAATTGTCTGTTTTATTATGTGAGACGTTAGAGTGATCAAACTTGTTCTAGAATGAATTGTATTGCCCCTTTCTGTGATGTATGACTCTATGATGCGTGGTTAGCAATAAATAATGAGGCTCCCTGGTTCTCGAGAGGGTGGCTGGCCGAGGGTGGCTGGAGAAGGTGACTAAGGAGGACGAAGCAGCGGCTTCTTCTCTGATGGCTAAGCCCCCTCCACGAGGACCATCAAGCCGGGCGGAGGTGAGATATGCTACCATGAATTGCGTCTGACTCCATTACTTGACTCCATCCTTTAACTCTCATGCTCTCTACGACTTTACTATAATCTCTACTTATTATCGCTGTACAATTGCGCCTACCGAACCTGTGATGTTTTGTGGGGTTCCCTCTTACCCTTAACCCCACAGAGCATTGGTGGTTAAGTGCTAGAATTCCCGACTCCCAATAGTGAATGGGTTTCAGCAGAACTTCCAGACCAAGATGAACTATACAGAAATGCCAGGTGTCTCACTCCCCAACATTAGTTAATGCAAAGCCTATAGATCACAGCTGAAAATTGTTGGGTCCCCACCCCTCGTGGTGCGGAACAGAGCAATTGTTTTCTGTTGTAGGAGGTCACCAAAGACAACAGCTATAACAAGAGCACTACTGAAGATTTCTTACATAGGCAGATAATACAAACAAATATGTTTCCATATGCTTAGCGAAAGGTTTAATAGGGAAGTCACTGACGATTTTAATGAGACTCACATATGTGAAAATAACTTTCTAAAAGAAGTATGCAAAATGTGCTATAATATTAAAAACACATCCAATGCGTGTCTTTCATTTAAAAAAATCATTTTATTGGGGCTTATACAACTCTTATCACAATCCATACATATATCCATTGTATGTCAAGCACATCTGTACATTTGTTGCCCTCATCTTATGTCATGTGAGCATCTCTAGGGCATAGAAGAAATGGTGGGAAATGAGTAGACTGAATTAGTAATAAGGCTAAATTATTAACTGTTGTTGAATAAACACAGTTTGTTTGCCTTCTTGTACATGCCAACAATCAAGCTAACAGCTAATGGTGCTGCTCAATTGAGGTCCTGTGTTTTACTCAGGAGAAATTCTCTATAATTAGCTCACTAAGTGTGTGCAAGCAGAACTCTGCTGACTGAGAGAAACACTGAGTAGTCACTCTAAATATGTTAGTCAACTGTCAGTCTTACCCAGATTCATAATTACATTTCTTTGAAATCCATCATTGTTATACAGAAGACAAATTTGACTATTTTATCAAAAGATTTCAACTTCCATCCACAGTGAGATACATTTTACCCATTCTCCCAGTGGCACTTCTGGTACTCCTAGCTCCATTCCTGAGGTCTCCCAACCCACAAAGGAAAGTTTCATAGCTTGCACCTACCTCTGTCTACTCTGGGTTCCAAAATTGCAGGTCTTTGAGCAGCTGGACCACTGAGTCCATGGATAATGGTCACAAAAACAGGCTTGGCTCCCACTGGTCACAACACTCAGCAGAATGAAGTGCAAGAGGGGATGTCTGGCCATAGCTTGAGAGTCTCCAGGTCCTGAAATGGAAAGATAGGATATACATAACAAAAATTTTAGCAACAGAAATGTCCAAGTCATATGCAGTCACAGATTATGATGTGGTCTTAGAAACCATCTGCTTCATCTAGTTTGCCTATAAATCAACACAACATAGTGTCCTATTTCTGAAGGCTTCAAGCATGGAAGATTTTCATCATCAGTTCAATTGGGGCACGTGCTACCCTCTTGGTTTTCATTTTAATGAATAGTCTCCTTACCATGGGCTCATTCTATAGATAGACAGGCTCCAAGAAAATGTTTCCTTCCAAAAATGTACTGATGCATCTTATACAAAGAGCCCTGATGGCACAATGGAATTGCACCCCTCTCCTAACAAAAAGTTTGGCATTTCAAACTCACCCACTGGATTAAGGGGAGAAAATACTACTCCCATAAAGATTACAGCCTATAAAACGCAAGAGGGGTAGTTATCCTCTGTCACATGGGATTACTATAGATCAAAAATTAATAAAACCTAACAACAACAATATATGAAATTACACTCCTTAAAAAGACTGCCTTTTATTTGGGGAAAACATTCTCAAATACATTTCAATTTTTCATACTTCTGAAATCAGGAGAAGGAGTTTAGGCTTCATTTACTTTTCTGGCACCTAGAAACCAAGCCTGCTTGGACAGCTGAAGAGAAATAGCACAACCCACAACCTAGCATTCCATGCAAAGTCCTAGAAGTTAGGGCAAGAAGGATCTTTGAAACTTCTTGGTCAGACTTCCTGGTTTTATGGATGTTGAAACTGAGGTTTAATGAAGTAAAATCATGCAGAGGCAGTGTCACCATTAGGAGCCCAAGAGTCCTCCTTCTGAGTTGAGATGCCTGCCTGCAGTGAGTTTTTGACAATACTGGATAGGCTGTTTGGAACTTCACCACCCAGATCATGAGAAGGCTTTTCCAACCATGAGTAGATGCTAGAGAATCCTTTGACCAGTGATCTCCTGCTGCATGCTGTACTGATCATTCATGATTCTTGAATTATTGATGGGAAATTGAAAAACAATCTCTCCCTCCATTATTATCATTTTAATCTCTATATCTCACCAGAGGAAGGCAACATTGTATGAGGAACCTTCACAAATTTCATGGGAAATGCACATTATAAAAAACTATGCATGGATTAAAAAGATATTTTGCAACAAAACAATTTTGTATCAATTTGTTATGACATGTTTGAACAAGATCAATCTGAGGTAATAAGAAGGATAAGATATCAGTTTTAATAGAGCCCCCATGAGAACAGCATGAATCCTGCTAAAATAAAAGCAAGAACAAATATCATATTTATGATAACAAGTGTGTGGAATAATGCTGAAATTATGGACGCTTTCTAAAAAGTGTATGGTAACCATGGCCCAAAGAAAGCAATAGTTTATGAGAAGGGAGGAGATTATGATGAAAATAGCCCAGCAGCAGCAACCCAGCTCTCGTTTCTGAAGAAATAATTATTCTTGTTTGTGTCCTAGTTGAAGAGGACCCACAAGGAAGGGCAAAAACAATAGCTATAAATATAAATATCTCAATATGTCAAATTTACACAAGTCTGATTGAAAAATTAAAGTTAAGATGAAATCACAGTGACCCATTTCAATCCTCACAATAGTTACTATGTTGGATTCCATTGTTGTACTCATTGGGTCAATTCAACTCATTAGCGATTTCCTTATTTTTGCTGATTCTCTTCCCAAACTAATTATAAGAGTATTTGTACGTATATGAGGGGACTTCAAAAGTTTGTGAGAAATGGAATTAAAGTGTAAAATAAAAAGTACAAACTTCATGTTTCAACGTAAACTCCATCAAAGTCAGTACAATATTTATAGACCACGATGCCAGCCCTAAAGAACTAAGACTAATTGAATCCTTAATCATACTAATTCAGTCTTTTTACACGATTGGCTAAAGAAAATGGAATCCTTTCAAGATTTTTAAAAATTATAAAACAAAAAAAGGAATTCAGAAGCAGCTAAATGATTTTTGTAAGGTTGGTGCTTAATGATTTCCTATAAAAACCCTTAAAAATAAATGGCCCTTACTTGATGAAAAGATCATTGTCCTAGTAGATGACTCTGTGGGGAAGTTTATTCTAAGTGTTGGTTAACTTTCTAAAATACTCTCTTAAACAGATGTTATCATTCTTCGACCCTTCAGAAAGTCAACAAACAAAATGCTTTGACTATCCAAAAACCCTTTCACCCTGACAGGTTCAATTGGCTCTGACTGGACTACTTCCACTTCCTGGTAGCTAAGGCCTTGGTTGTGCTTTTTGTCCTCAGGATTAGACTGATAAAGCTATGTTTCATTTTTATTTTACAATTCTTCATAGAAATTTATGATGCAATTTATTTAAAGTTTCCATTGAAAAGCTCTGCTCTTATCAGGAGCTGATCAGGAGCAACAGTTTAAGCAGCCATAGAGCAGAAAGTTTGTTCCACTAAAGAGCCATCACAGCCAGTAAGATGATAAATGTAACATAAACGCCTTTGTTAGAATTAAATCAGAAGGTTCATATAAAGTTCTTAAGCTAATCCCTGGCAAGTCTTCATTCAGAATGTATTCATTTTCAAAAGTTATAATAATTAAGACGTTTACAAATTTAATAGTATCTGTTGGTCATGTAGCTTTCCAAATTAGCAAACTACAGAAAGGATCATAGGAAGGTCATATATATGTTTTGGATTTATTAAGGGTATACATACCCAAATAATATAGAAATATGGTTTTCATTATTTTGATCTTGAAAATAAATATGTGACTACCCTGTTTAAAATTGCAATTTCCACCAGCATTTCTTATTCCCCTTCACTGTTTTTTCTCTCTCTTAACATATGCCATATTAATAGACTAAATTTTGCTTAATTAATTCAAATAAATTTATTCTCTCTTCTTCTTTCCTCATTAGAATGTTAACACCATAATGGTTGATTTTTTGGGGTCATTTTATTAATTTCAGCATTTTGAGAGCAAAAGCAAGCATAGGATACAGTCAATTAATACTTGATGAATTTTATCTTGGACACATTTTAAAAATGACCTTTAAAGAAAATTGAATCCTATAATTTAGGACCATAATTACAATCAGTTCTACAATTTAAATGAAGTGTCTAAATTTACATTTTTAAAATACGTGGACTCCAAAATTGGACTCCAACTGTTAATTGTTCTTTTATCAAAAAGTGATTGTTGACAGCTAATTGTTTTACACTTAGCACATTGCAGTGGTTTATTGAATCTCATACTAGGTTTCTTGAGAGTCAGGTTTGTTTTAAAGTACTTCTAATTAATTAAGTCAGCCATCTTTTTTATTTGATAGAATTTACTGTGTCCTAGTGGCACAGCGGGTAAAACACTGGGCTACTATCCACAAGGTCAGCATTTGAACATACCAGCCACTCGGAAGGAGAACGTGTCTTTCCTGTGCTGCACCTGCAACCTCAGACACTGGAGGGCGTGGTTAACTCTGTCTTACAGGGTCCCTGTGGCCCAGGGCTGACTTGATGTAGTGAGTTGAGTGAGACTGTGTTCTAAGAAATACAGTTATGTACAAAGAAGACTATTAAACCAGCTTAGAATATCCCCCATAAGGAAACTCAGGCTAGTATTAAAATGAAACAGAACCCAAATAACTACTTATTTTATAAACTTAATCAGAACAGAAAGGAATGAAAAAGAACACTATAAGACGTAGATTCTTCCACCTATTCCAAGAAACTCCCCTGAGTACCATTTCTTTCTCTTTTTTGAATGTGAGAAAGATATTTTAATTGGAGAGTTATACGGGTCTAACTTAATTATTAAAATCAGATGTTAAGCACTATATCTCAACACTTTTCTTACGAAGCTATCTGCTTAACATAAGCCATTTCTAACTACAACATCGAGTTGAAATAGGCAGCGTAAGATGAGAAAAACTGTTATTCTGTAAAGAACTACGAACACTTCAAAATGCACATGAAATTAAAATATAGTGAAAATTCCCTCACATTTTTGAATCCTGTCATACTTGTAACTTTTCCCCCCAAAACCATTTTATTGGGAGCTAATACATATAGCATATTATTCCATAGTCAATCACATCAAGTGTATTGTGCAACTGCTCCCACATCAGTTTCAAAACATCCTCTTCCTTCTTGAACTCCTTGACATCAGCACCCTTTTACACCCCACCCCGCCCTCCTCTGTAACTCCCAGAGACCCTCATTCTATTTGATGTCTCTATAGGTTCCATCATGCTGGGTTTTTATATACTGAAAAACTGAGAAAACACATGAAAAAATCCAAGAGGGCCACACCCAATGACAAAACACATTTGAGATAAACCCCAATATGAAAAAACAAACAAAAATACAGAAAATGTTGCCAACCAGATAAGGCACAGTCAGTGTGCATCAGAGGGGGATCAACTGACAAGATTTTAACCCTTCAGGAAGGTTTATCATTTTGAACTTCTGAGGTCATCTCTCCGATGCTCTGTTTCATAACCAGTTTCTTCCCATCACTCTATTATGGATCAAGAAAGATCACCAGAGGCTTATTTCCTATGTAGATCCCACAGATGTATCTTGGGATCCCATTGTCATCTGCCTTCTGCAAACCAGTATCTCACAGTTTAGATTCTGATACTATTTCCTCCTTTGACTTTGGATTATATGATTTATAATCTTTTGGTCAATGATGTTGATGTGCTTCTTCCATGTGGACTTAGTTGACATCTCACTTAGATGACTGCTCATTTAGAAACAAGCCTTTAAGACCCCAGATGCTATTTTATCTCATAGCTGGGAGCCATCTAATTTCTTCACCACACTTTGCTATAGCACCCATATTTTTGGTGTTCCCTTCCTGAGGGTGAGTACCTAGTAGGATCACGATGTAAGAACTAATTGTTCTTAAATTGGTGTTAATATTTCATGTGAGCCCAAAACCTTTTCTTGGATCTCTTTTTTTAAATCTACCTTTGGCTCCCTTTAGAGACCAATTTGATGATTTATTGTAAAGAGTATTATTAATCATCTCCTTTGGGCATAAAGATCTTCCTTTAAAATTGTCTTTGATTAACTTCTAGTACTAATTTTTGATATCACAATACTGGAATTACTCACTTGCCCAGAATCAATCTTTTCATGTTTGGATGCTATTTACACAATCAATAGGAGTTGGTTCTTAGGGAACATTTGCTATAATATTCATTGACAATGTCAGTCACAAGTTTGCCTGAATAATGTATATCAATATAGCACATAGGCATTAATGTAGTAAATCAATGATTGTCCCCCTACCGATTGTTCAATAATCTTGGTATGGCTGCCTTCTGCTTTCTCAAACACCATGAACTTTCAATCTCAAGTGCTCAGGAGACAAGTGTGTTTGAAGTAGAGTCCACTTCACCTAGTGGAGTCTCTCTTTTTATGACTCCAATGGGATGAAAATGCTTCGATACATCAGAGTAGCCAATAGATATGCATGCATATTATTTAAATATATACATGAACAGGAGCATACTCTTCACTTTTCCTTTTTTCACCTTGTAATATAACCTGAAGATCTTTCCACATCTGTGTATGCATATCTACTTCATTCTTTTTAGTTGCTGCATAATTTAAACCACATGTATATATTACAGTTGATTTAGGCATAGCCTAATTGTGAGCATTTAGGACACAAACTCAGGTCAATAAAGAGTTTTAAACAGCATCTTTTAGAAAACTCTCATAGCACTCTATAGGGTTCCTGTGGTGCGTGTATTCAGAAGTAGATCATCAGAGGTTTCTTCCAAGACCTCTGTGGGTGAACTCAGACCTTCAAATGTTTGGTTCTCAGTTGAGCTGAATGAAGACTTACTGCTCACTCAAGGACTCAATATCACATTTAAAAAACTCTCAAACTAAATGTGTTGGCCATTGAGTGGAGTCCACGTCAGAACCACCCTATAGGATGGAATAGAACAACCCTGTACAGTTTCCAAAGCCGGAAGCTGTACAGAAGCTGACTGCCACATTCCCCCCACTGATTGGCTGGGGTCCCCGCTGCCGGCCTCTGAGCTGTCGGACTGTGCGTTCACTACTGCCCCATCAGTGTCTCTGGGAGAGAATTTAGGCAGTGATAAGCCCGAAGTGTGAGCCCTCTACATCGGACTCAGTCTCCAAATAAGGATATTGTCTCATTCCCTTTAGGACCATTCGGAGCAGAGATTCTTAGACCATCCCCCCTTTTTTTGCAATTTGGATTTTTAAAAATTGGGGCTGCTTTACATGCTGATAACACAGACAACAAGGAGCCCTAAGTGGAGCTGCTTTTATACTTCTTAGATTTTTGTGCAGGAAGAAACAGAAACTTCTAGAATGTTTCTCTTAATTATTGGGAAAACACTTTCTTGAATTTAGCAAGTAAATAATTGGGAGCAGTTACATTATAAGCAATTAAACACTATCAAATATAAGCAGACACCATTTACCAGAAGCTCATACATGACAGGTGGATTCACACTGTTTATCATTAAAATCTGCAAGAGCAGGCCCCTTAGAAACTATTGTGATCTCTTCTATGACTTTGAGTGTCCTCAGGCTATTTGGAAGACGCTGTAAATTAAGATGGCGTGTCGAAATTTGTTATTTGATAAGATGCTACTCATTAGTAGTGTCTCTTTTCATAATATTTCAGTGTTACGAGAAACAATTGTTTTATTATCCTTTTCTCTTAAAGATAATTCACTATTTTTTTACCATGACCCCAAATGTAAAATGAAATGGTTCCTAATTTATTTTCAACATTTCTTAAATGTTTTGGAGTTGTCTAAAATGACATACAAACATTTTCATGTAAACATGAAATGACATAATGTTTGTTGAATAAAGATCTGTTTCTGATCATCAGGAAAAATTCTCCAGTTTCAGTACCAAGGTAGAACAGCAGGAATTCTGAGCTTTTCTTATAATTAGAATGTTTTTTTGAACTCTCTAATACTTGATGAACTCACTGAGCCACTGAAGATAGCTTTGCTGGCACTTAGGGAATTCTAGTTAAAAATGTTTTTCTTATTCTTATCAGTCACCTCCCAGAGCATTACCCATACACGAATGTGTTACTCCCAAGGCACTTAGCTCAGCACAGTTTCTTATCCTCTTTCCGAAAGTGCTCGAGTTTACCACTGACTGCAGGCTCTTCTTTTCTGTTTTCTTTAGAAAGGCTCAAATCTCTAATTTCTTATGTTTTTTGACTGCTGCGCATTCCCGGAGGCTGAAAAAATCACGTTTACTGTTGGCAGGGTAGGCTGAACGTTCCAGGGGCATGACTGACCCTTTGGTTAAAGATTTATTTGTTTTACTTTTAAACTGTAGTTAAACTCATGGAAAAAGTTGATCTCAACTAAGTTCTCCAAAAGGACATTTTTTAAAAATAAATATGAGCCTTTGGGTCTTTTGAGATTTAAGCAAAAAGGATTGTGATAAGAGTTGTAGCCCAATAAAATGATCTTTTAAAAAAGGAAGTAAAAGAAAGGGCTCCAGTTTCAGGATAAAGCTCATGTATGGAAAAGGAATACTTGTTGAAAGCATGGTCTATATGTTAAAATATTAACAATGAAAATGAAACATTATATCACTCACCTTTAATCAGAGATCGTGGTTTCCATACAGTCGAAAATGGCTGAGGATATAACAGGAATTCACCGTAAAAAGGGTTTTGGGTTAAGCCAGACAAGCATTCTCTCCCTTCGCTAAAGGAAACAGGTAATGGTTTCTATTTCAGAGAGCAAACCGCAGGCGAGGGTGACCCTACACACTCAATAGAAACTTTGGACTTTACAGAGTTCCTCTCAATCAGTAACTCTAAAGCTCTAATCATGAGATATTACACAAGGTCCTGAATTTACCATGGTTTTCCTTTCAAGCTGACTGGGAAAAGATATCGCTGAGTCCATGGAAAACTTTTCCTAAGAGATTCCTTAAGAATGAAACAACACCCCTCCCCCACCTTTCAGGAATATGTTGATTTCCTAAAAATATGTAGAGATTGTGATTTATTTTGAGTATGAAATATCTATTGAATAAGATTTAGAAAATATATAGAAATTAAAATACATTAAAATAAATAAAGCATAAAATAAGGTTACATTTTAAAAGAAAAAAATGCATGTCTTACAACCAGAGAAAGCCACTCTTAAAAAAAAAGGTTTTTTGGTATTTCAACCACATGTCATACAATTCAATAATTCAATTATGTCACAAAAAGTTGTAAAATAATTACCATAGTTAATTTTAGAACATTTTCTTCTTCCTTATACTCATTGTTATTTATGTAATGTGTTTTGTCATGTGGCAAAACTATTCACAACAAAACATTCTTCAGTTCAACAACTTCTCCATGTATAATTCAGTGCCACTAATTACACTCTTCATCTGGTACAACCATCATTGATAACCTTTTCCAGATTATTCCACCGCTCTTAAACTGCATGCCCCCTGAGCAAAAACTCTTCCTCCGTCACCCATGACAACCATTGGATAAAGCCACTCTTAATAATTACTTCCAGGCATACAATGTGTAGATGGTATTTTGTTGGGGGATTTTATTTTTGCATCTATAAATACACACACACAAACACATATGTATGTATAAAATTTAAAGTGGCATTTAGAAATGATTTAAAGGAATGGAGTTGATCACACTCTTCACTTTATAGAATCATATCATCACTGCTCTGTTAAAATCTTTTGCTTTATTTTGTTTAATTGTTTTCCCCACCATTTTATTTCACTTCTATTCCCATAGGACCCTTTGCCTTCCAGTAGATTCTGATAGTAAGTGTAGATTAATGTATATAACTAGTTTTCACTTCCATATGCCTATTTATAGATGTGTCTATTATTTAAAAATAACAAGTATCATTTTCCATGCATATTTGTAATTTCCAGAAATGGCATTTTGCTCTGCATTTAATTTGATTTCTTACTGTTTTCACCCAACCTTCCTTTTCTGAGCCTGATTCATCCGTAAATCTATGGTGGCAGAGGTTTTCAGTACTGACCTCTTTTTACTTACCTATTCCCTTAGAATTCTGGACCTACTTTGCTGCCTCCAAATCACTGTACCTATAAAGAAAGTGTATTTTTTTTCTTGTGATCATGAGAGAGAATTTCTCGGCGGCATTTACCCAAAAGTGAAATCACTGGGTTTTTAAAGCAGAACGTTGTTTCCCTAAAGACTGCCAGGTTGCTCTTTCAAAAGACTACGTACATATGTTTACACTCTTACCAGCAGGGATTTCATTTCTCCACATTTGCACCAGGATGTGTTATTAGTCAACCGCTGATATTTATTTTGGGCCCGTGGTTTCTCACGATTGCTTAAGTAGCACTTCTCTGATTATGCTTGAAATGAATAATTGGCATTCTCTGATTACTAGTCTATTGTGTTTATTTTATTTTGTTGTCAGAGTCAGGTGTAACCTATGCATTTTAGATATCACTACCATGTAGATTTGGGATATCACATATTTTTTCTAATCTTGAGTCTATACTAGCTATGTAGTCTTCAACAAGTCACTTTGTCTTACTGAAACTGTCTTTCAAAGCAGTGGAACGTTTTTCTACACCAAATTATATAATTAAAGCTTGCTATATTTTCCTGTAGAAAACATGTATTCCCCGAACAACTTAAAAGTTTTACTGTGCAATTGGAAATGATCATTTTTTCAGATCTACAGAAGATGTGAACCACAGTTCGG